CGGGAGGCGCCGCCATTTCCCGCCCGCTCCCGCGGGCCGCCAGCGAAATGGCCCCGGCCCGGGGCCCCCTCCTTGCCCGCAGGAGCCTCCTCCGCCGGCCCTGCAAGGGGGCAGCCACTCCCGGGTGCGTTTCGCCTCAGCAACTTTTTTTTTTCTTTAAATTCAACGTGTAACTTCTTCTGAGGCATGGAAAGATAAAGGGAAATCTTATACAGCGAGCCTGCGTTTTCCCTGAGGAGCACATGGGGTAATGGCTGAATTAATACGTGCGGGTCTTGACTTACGGCACCCTGCGAACGCAAGATTAGAAGTTGTATTTCACAACGGAAAACATAAAGTTACTCATAATTACTGTGGCAGCATAGTCAGAGGGTTGCCACGGCTGAGGTGCTGCTGTGTGTGGCGTTACTCAGAGCTCCTCTCCCTCCCTCTGCCCCACTTCTTTTTACTACAGCCCTTGCTGTGTCATAAAGGGCTCGAGGTTATCTTCACTTAAATGCTTGACATCTTCTCCATTTGAATGCAGGGCAAATAACCTGGGAAAAATATTTTAAACGTACCAGGTCTGACAAAATGGCACTTTTATTGAAGCTCACTCTTTGTTTTCCCCCATTGCTTTAGGGTTTGCAAACCAAATCAAAACACTCCAGAATGAAAAATTAAAGCTCCCTTCCCAGGCTTAAGTAGGACAGAACCCAGGCGCTGTTTCTGCTCTGTGTCGGATCAGTATCTGCCTAATCATACCAGTAGTTCCTTTAAAGAAGTAAAACGAGTAAGTTATGAAAAAAAAGTGCATTTCTCTGTCAGTTATTCTTACCATATTTGTAGCTCTTAGAGCTCTTTTCATTTTCATGTACTGGTTTTGTGTTTCAAACACTGTTTTATGAAAAAAAACCACTTCTATTAAGAGTTTTTTCAACTTAAAGTCAGATGAGGATCAAATACCAGGTTAGATAAATAAGCATGCAACCCAGAAGCAGTCATTCAGGCACTAGCTCTAGTCTAAGGTTTTCCTTTTTTTTCCTTCGACCCCCTCTTTTCTGTTTCCTTTTGGGAATCACCAGACAGCACTCCACAGGAGAAGGGGAAAAAAAAAAAAAGCTGTTTCTCTAAAGAATATAAAAAAGATCTATTTTGAAAATGAGTAGTTAAGCAAAGTGAAGGTAGTGAAGGTTTGTATCACTCAGAAAGCATTACAACCACTGGGAAAGGTTGGGGGAAGGGTATCTCACTAAATGATTCATATCCATTACTTAAAAATAGTTTTAGACACTTCAGTAATTGTTACTCCAGTGTAGAAGCCTTGCTTTAGGGTTTCAAAATGACTGCTTTACTTCCAGATTGATGCTGAGAGTGATATTGCAGAAAACATGATACTACATCCCTCTAAAACACATTTCTCATAGAACACAATTACTCCCCTTGCCTTCACATCCATACAATCAAGTCTGTGCTAACCTAGCTCAAGCATCAAAACTTGTGTCAACTTAAATTTACAGCCTTATTGACAGAGTCCTATCCCCACACCCGCTCGAGGCATCCTGACCAAGGCATTATTTAGCACCGTTCTAGCTGGGAATTGGCTGTGGCCATTGAAAGTTGCTCTTTTAACGGCTGGGGTACATATTTAAGGACTGCCTTAGACTATCCCGTGAGCCCAAACCCGCACAAAGGGTATTTTAGGCTCCCTGTTTTCTGCATTAGCCCCTCAAGAGCCTTCCTGAACGCTGGAACGAGCCGACCCAGGCGAGGGAGTCGCACGCAG